AGCTCAGAGATGCTGAGATTTGCCTGAGAATGGCAATTCCAAAAATTTCCCTTTCGAAATCAAGTCGTGCTCAAATAGGCATTGGAATGCCATATGAAATGGTGAAAAATGAAATGTTAGGCACAGCAGCATCTACAATAAGTTTCATTAGGAACTACATTAGGGTACTCACTTATTTCTCAGGAACACCTTGGCATTATGGAGAGCAACAAGAGCAAGCTCTGATTCCATGTAATTTTACCAATTCCCATGACATGCATTCCTTTCTTCAAAACCTCATTTTCTAAGAGACATTTCCTACCTGATATCTCCCAGTGAGTGCAGAACAGTGGCATGGCCCCAGCTCAGCCTGTCCTGGAGGTATCCCAGGTCTATATTGCAGGGCTTTGTTTATATCTAAGGAAAGGGAAACTAAATTCCCTTTGGCAGCGTCCTCCTGCTCTGATCCATGGAGTTATAGTTCCCTCAGCACCTACCCAGTGGATTTGCTCATTTGGCTGAGACATTTGGGGCTGGCTGGCCTGGGCTGCCACAGAAGTGGCCTTTCTCCAGCAGCAGAAACCCCCATCTGCCTGCTGCTGAGGTGCCTTAGGCTCTGGCCGTGCTCTCCATCTCCCCACTGCTGCACTTACAGAGCTTTGCCTGACCCTTTTTGGTTTCTCCCATCAACAAGCAAAGCAACGAGGAAGCTGCATACTCCATGTCATGGCCAAAAGCACAGTCTAGGGATCCAGAAAGGCTCCAGCCCAGTGAAGGTGGAGAAGGAACGAGGTGTACTGGGAGATGATCGCTGGGACAAGATGCAGCAGATCCCAGGAACTCACAGCCCACGTGGAACTGCAGGGATCTCCTCCTAACCCTCAGGGAGCTGTACAAGGAGAACAGACACGGAAAGCTCTGGAACTGTTCCGAGCTCTGTCTGAGCTCAGCCTGGCAGCAGAGCAGAGGGCAGAGACACGACATGGGGCAGAGCACCCCGCGGAGCCTGCGAGTCCTTCGGGAAGCCGGGCAGGCTCTTGTGGGAAGCACGGGAGCAGCACACATCCAGCACGGAGGCGAGCCGCGGAAGGGGGTTTAGCACAGCCCGCACGCTGCCAAGTAAATAGATGCGTCTGCCTCTGATTTGCATGTTTATCTTAGAAGCAATTTAGGTTTCTCCTTGTTTACAAGAGCCGAAGTCAGCAGACTCTCCGCAAGAACAACAACGGGGAGCCAGCACGTGACGCTCGTCTCCTGTTCCCTCGAGCATCGGGCGCTCCGCGGGATGTTGGGAAGAGCTCGCTGCAGCTGGATGTGCATCCGTGCAACTTGCAGGGAGGAGGAAGGCTGGCAGGGAGAGGGAGAGGAGGGCTTGACCCCGCAGGCTCCGAAGGCACCTGCCTTGGGAACACAAAATCTCCATCCTCCCTTGTTGCTGCCTTGCGGGAAGGGAGGAAGGCAGGGCGGGAGATCCCAGTGCTGTGTGTGCAGCACAGCGTGTCCCGCAGCACGGGAGGCTCACACCCGGCTCCTGGCAGCGGAATCCTGGGAGAAAATGGGAAATACACCCAGCCCGGGATTGCACACCGATCGGCGAGAGGGAGTGCTGCAGCATCAGCCAGGCAAAGGCGGTCTGAGGGGTTGTGCCAGCCCCTCACCCGAGCTGGGCAAGCAGCTCTGCACTTGGCAAGGGCAATGCCAAGGCTTTATGGACCTGCATGAGGAGCTCCCAAGAGGCAGCAGCCCGAGGAACCCCGCTGGACAGGGTGGAGAATCGTTATCCCCACATGTACTTAATTATCCACTCGCTCCCTCCCTCCCAGCTCCTCCTCACTGCAGCCTGCCCGGGTCTGCCTCTCTCCTCCCAGCCGTGAGCTCCAGGCCTGAGCAGCCACCAGCATCAGGAGCAGCTCCTTCTCACAGTCTTTTCTGAACTCATGCCTTGGGTTTTGATGTTGTTTTGTTTTTTTTTTCAGCTGGAAAAATAGAGATTCCCCCAGAGTACAGCATTGCATAGAAATGTGCCACTTCCAGCACAGCTTCATTCTTTTAAAAACGAGGTTCTGATAAGGCAGCTGGGGACTTCTCAGAACATCCATTGTCTTTCCTATTGCAGTGTTTTTAAAATGTCACAGGCTTTGAGAAATAAAATCGGAAGGGATGCTTTCATCTGTCCAAAACAAATGTTTGGGTTTTTTCCCCTCCCAAAACTCTGCTTGGCAGAATTTTCTGATGTTCCCTGTCTCTCTGCATTTTAGAGTAACTGAGCCCAACTGGAGCTTTTCTCAGCAAGCCTTGCTGAGATAACCACAGCCTTCCCGGGACATGGGGGGAATTTTCCCCTTTCTGATGGAATCCTATAAGTACTGCTGTAAATACACTGCTTGTTCTCAGCCACAGGCAAAGGGAGATGCAGCCACCGACCCTGCTGGGTCTGGGACCCACACGGCGGTCGGTGCCCTTCACCCTGCTCTCCTTCCACTTTCTCCTGCTGATAATGTTTGCTCTGATCTGGGTGTTTGGCAGGAGAATTAAGGAGAAGTAATTAGCTCCCAGTGTGAAAAAGGGAGTGCCTGGTGTTTATCTTGTCTGGAGGGTTTCCCTTGATCTCGGTCTCCCAGGGGATGGTGTTAGTCGGTGCTTTATCCGTCACTCTCCCATCCGGGAGGCAGCTCCTCTACCAGCCCAGAGACCAGTGCCCCAGCTCAGGAGCACAGGGGACAGGTCCCTGCAAGGTCCCTGGTGAGGTGGCCCATCACAGAACATTTTACCTGCTACAGCTTCCCCAGCAAAGGGGAGCTTTGGCTCTGTTGAACTTCCATCCTGCAACCCGCTGCCTCCCGGCATCTCATCCCTGCCCTTGGCAGCACAGGCAGGGACACGCCAGCCATCCCCATCCTTGCTGGGCAGAAGGAATTTTGGGCCAGGTGCCTGGCCACACTTCCCCACAGGACCTTTGCTACCCTGCTCAAGACCACCCGGTCTTATCCAGCTGGTGGGATGCTCATCCTCCCTGCCCCACTCACCAGCTGCTCTCACAGCCTGGCACGAGCAAGGCAACAAAATACTCTCAGTTCTCATTGCTTGATGAGCTCCCGTTGGCTTTTCTTTCCTAAAAGTCTTCTGCCATGTCCCTGTCCCTCTGCTGCAGGACGAAAGGCTGGTGAGCATGCCTGGGACAATAGTGCTCGCTGCCCCTCTGAGTCTGGGCTCACAAAGCCGTGGGGAGCCGGGTTTATTATCCTCAGCTCCAGCCCGAGATGACCTTGTGCTTCTGCCAGCATTTAAACAAAATATTTTAAAAAGGGGAACAGATCCCATTGCTTTCTGTGCTCGCAGGGCTTTCCTGAGCTTGGGAGCTCTCTCTGGGGCGGACAGAAGCGATAGAACGTGGCCAGAGAGAGACAATGAAATATTGTCCGAGCTTATTGCTTTTTATTATTATTAAAGGAAGGTTTTTACTTCCAGTCCGGGGGCTAGAAAAAATCTGAATCCCACCCAAACCTCATCCCTTCCAGCCAGAATCCCAGCTCCGTGCTCTGCAGCAAACATCGTCCTCCAGCACAAGCAGCCAGAGGGGCGAGAGGGTGGCGCAGGCAGGAGCTGACCGGGATGGAAAATTCCATGGTGCTGCCATTGTCCGGGATGGTGTGAGAGTGAGGGGCAGAGCTCAGGGGCCCTCCCCCGTGGCCACAGAAAGCTGCCCACAGGGCTCAGCCAGGCTCTGCCAGACTGTTGTTTGTGCATTGTCTTCCTGCTCTGAGCTCCTGCTCTCTCCTGCTGCTGCAGGGGGGGAACAGGGATGCAGGTGGGACACAGGGATGCAGGTGGGACACAGGGATGCAGGTGGGACACAGGGATGCAGGTGGGACACAGCCAGGATGGGGGACACAGTTCTCCCAGTTGTGCAACTTCAGGGCGTGATCACAAGTGTTCACCAGTGCAGGAGGTGCACAGAGAGGAATCAACAGCTGGGGGATAACAGTGTGAGGACTGTAGCAACAACAGGTGAAGCCTGGTCCTCTTCCTCCTCCTTCTCTACCTGAGCATGGCACAGGTGCCTGTGCCATGGACACTGTTCCCACGGAGTGCAAGCAGGAGACAGGGCAGAGCATGCACCAGCCATCCTGCTGTGCTCAGCAGGGCCAGGCAGGGCTGGGATGTAGGGAAGAGGGTGGGAGGGAGGTTTTGCACATCAGCAAGTTCCTCTGCTGCCACCCCAGGAGCTGACAGAGCCCAGGCTCGTGGGGCTCATCCCAGGACTCGCAGCACCCAGAGCTGGCTGTCTCCTGGGGCAGATGTTCTCCACAGACCCCCTGCTCCTTGCCTGCACAGAGCAGAGCTTTGTGCACCCCATTATACTGAACACAAGGACTGAAGGCCAGTGGCTGTGATGGCTCAGCAGTGCCCTGTCCCTGTGTCCTGCCTGTCTGAACCACAGCCCCGGGCAGGTCTCACATGTGCTCTACAGCTTGTCCACACCATGGGGACACTGCAAGGGGGGCACACTGCTGTGGGGGGACACCCTGGGCAGAGCCCAGAGCAGCTGTGACACAAGTAGAAAGGAAAGAGGAGAAGGTGGGCTTCAATATAAGACCCCTGAGCAAGGTGAGGACCTGGTGTCACTCTGTTCAGCCTGGAGGAGACTGAGGTCAGACCTCATCAGGGTCTGCACCTTCCTCATGAAGGGCAGCTCCAATCTCTGCTCTCTGTGAGCAGTGACAGCACCTGAGGGAATGGCTGGAGCTGTGTCAGGGCAGTTTGGGCTGGATATCAGGAGAAGGTTCTTCTCCCAGAGGGTGGTCGGGCACTGACCAGGCTCCCCAGGGCAGTGGGCACAGCACCAAGGCTGCCAGAGCTCCAGAAGGGTTTGGACAACGCTCTGAGGGACAGGGTGGGATTTTGGGGTTGTTCTGTGCAGGGCCAGGGGTTGGACTGGATGATCCTCGTGGGTCCCTTCCAGCTCAGGACAGTCTAAGTTCCCCTGCAGGCAGGGCAGTAACGTGGCACTGCTCCCTCCCGCAGGTACATCGGGGCGCTGGGCGCGAGGGTGATCTGCGACAACATCCCCGGGCTGGTGAACAAGCAGCGGCAGCTGTGCCAGAGGTACCCCGACATCATGCAGTCGGTCGGGGAGGGAGCCAAGGAGTGGATCCGGGAGTGCCAGCACCAATTCCGGCACCACCGCTGGAACTGCAGCACCCTGGACCGGGACCACACCGTCTTCGGCCGGGTCATGCTGCGAAGTAGGTTCTGCCCCATCCCCTTCCCACCCCTGCCTTCCTGGGAGTCCCTCCTCTCGCTGGGCTGCCGTGCCCGGTGGCTTGGATTACTCCCTTAGGAGAGCTTTGCTTTTCCCTGTAAATTAATCAAGCAGTAATGGGAGAAGAGCACTGCGTTTGGAATAGCTGCACCAGATGAGATGGAGCAGGGGGAGCACTGGGGGAGAAGGGGGAAGGAGGAGACACCTCCGGAGAACAGGCTCATATGTAAACAGTAATGGGATATATAAATATTTGGAGAGCAGGGTTGGCCAGGACTCAGCAATTCACGTGGGAACTGGCTGTTCCCTCGCATGGCAAGGGAGGCAAGGCAGAGCCACGGCTCCAGTCCTCACTTCGGGCTCCAAGGTGGAGGAGGACCATGGATACGGGGCAGGTGCCAGCCTTGAGCAAAGGGCTGGGCACAGCCCCTGCCCAGGAGGGACCGTCCTGCTCCACATGAGGGACAGATACGACACAAGCAGGGATGTACCCAAGGAAAGGTGTGATGGGGACAGGGATGGGGCAGTTCCAGAGCAGGAGCAGCATCAGGGGCTCCAGCTGCCCCTGGGAGGGCTCCGGCAGGGAACGGGCTGCGGGAGCACCGGCACAGGCAGCGGCACTGTGGGACAGATGCTGCTGCATCCCGTGCCGTGCTGGAGCATCCAGCCATGCAGCCTCCAAATCAAAGGCGGCTGGAAGAGCCTTCCCACTCCCAGCTCATATGGAGGACATGTGAGTGCTGTGGAGGGAGTGGGGGGTTTGCTCCCAGCTGGCGGGGGGATGGGGCAGCTGCCCATGGGGCGGGCAAGCAGCAGAGCCAGAAGCCAGACTCCTGACAAGGACCTGGCTGGGAAGAAGGGGACTGGAATGCCAGGGTGTAGCACTCACCCTGCCGTGCTGCAGCCTGCCCGCTCTCAGCCTCTCCATCCCCACCAGGGCACCTTTCCTCCTGCTCGCATCCTCTCCTGGCAAAGGATGGGGAATGATGAAAGCTCCTCGCCACAGCCCCATCCTGCGAGGCCCAAAGAGAGCTCTGCTGCCTTTGAAGTTGCTTTCAAAGGCTCCTCGAAATGAAGACGAGCATGGTTTTGATTTGCAGCTTCTTTTACAGCGTTATAAAAACAGCTGCGAACTTGAAGCAGAGACATAAAATAGCAGGCGCAAGCTGTGCCACGCGGGGAGAGCCGGGGCTGGCGCCGGCTCCATGCTCTCCATCACCCCAGGAGGGAGGGAGGTGGCCTTGGCTGAAGGGTGCTGGCTGGTCCTGCAGGCTCAGCACATGTGGGCATGGCTCCTGATAATTCCCCTTGGTCAGAAGGGCACCGGGGAAGCCAGCAGTGGGTTTGGCTTGCCCATGCACAGGATGGGCTGCAGACGCCTGGCACGGCCTGGCACGCTCACTCCCCGTCCCTGCTCCTCTCCCCGCTCCAGGCAGCAGGGAGGCCGCCTTTGTCTACGCCATCTCCTCGGCCGGGGTGGTCTATGCCATCACCCGGGCCTGCAGCCAGGGGGACCTCAAGGTGTGCAGCTGTGACCCGCTCAAGAGGGGCCGCTCCAAGGACGAGCGCGGGGAGTTCGACTGGGGCGGCTGCAGCGACAACATCAACTACGGGATCCGCTTCGCCAAAGCCTTCGTGGACGCCAAGGAGAAGAAGGTGAAGGATGCCCGGGCGCTGATGAACCTGCACAACAACCGCTGTGGGAGGATGGTGAGTGAGCCCCCAGTGTTGCACCAGCCATCCCACCTGGACCTTCCGTAGGGAACAGCTTGGGCATAGAAGTAGGACTGTGGTATCCGTGGAGGGCAGGTCCTACTGTGGATGAGGGCTGGATGCTGCCCTGCCTTCCCAGCGCTCCCCCACACGCTCTGCCCTGGGAATGGCCCCATGGAGGCCCTGCTTACCTTTTCCCCCAGCACATGTCCCTGCTGCTGCTGCATCAGTGACCTCCATACACAGCCCCCTCCGTGCACAGCCCCCCTCTCCTGTTAGGAGCCCATCCCACACAGCCAAGAGCTGATAAGCTGCACCAGGGATGAGCAGGCACCGGTGCAATGTCTGGCACCCAGGGTGACCACCAGTCCTCACACATCCCTCTTCCCACAGGCTGTGAAGCGTTTCCTGAAGCTGGAGTGCAAATGCCACGGGGTCAGCGGCTCCTGCACACTAAGGACTTGTTGGCTGGCAATGTCAGATTTTCGAAAAACAGGGGATTACCTAAGGAAGAAATACAACGGGGCCATCCAGGTGACGATGAACCAGGACGGCACCGGCTTCACAGTGGCCAACAAGAACTTCAGGAAGCCCACGAAAACAGATCTGGTGTATTTTGAGAACTCACCTGATTACTGCGTGATGGACAAGTCAGCAGGTAAAACCCAGAGCTCCAGTCGTTGCCCAAAAGCAGCTCCTCCTCCCCTGCAGACAGGCCAGCAGCTCCCAGCTAGCCCAGCTTTGGGATCTCAGCTCCCCCAGTGAACCCCAGCCCTCAGAGAGGGGGGCATCTGTAGCACCTCACACTTGCACAGGCAGAACTGTGTTTGTCCAAAATCCCCAGGCTTTACACCAAAGCCCCAAGCCTCTCAGGCCTCTTGTAATGACGGTAGCTCAGCGTTTCCTCAGAGCCTGCCCCCCGCGGAGCAGAGCTCCCTTGAAGAGGCAATAAAGAGCCTGTTCCCTGCACAGGCTGCCGGCTGCTCCTCAGAACACAGCCCGGGGCTGGGATGAGAGCGGGGAAGGGGCGTCAGGGCTGCTGGGCTCCTGCAGAGATGATCAATGGTTTCCCAGCCTGGAGCATCCCCGGGTCAGGGGTTGGCAGCAGCCGAGGGGGCTCGGTGGGGAAGGCAGCACGTGCTCCCACCACCCTCAGCCTGAGCAAAGAGGACATTCCCAGCTTTGCCAGCTGCAAAGCCTGGCTCAGCAGGCACGCATTGCTCTAGGGGTCCCCCGGGCACAGAGCAGCTGTGCAGACCCCCTGCCTGTCCCCCACTGCCCTTACATTCTGGCAGCAGTGGGCACGGGGAGGGGGCCATGCAGAGGGTCGTAGAATCCCAGAATGGTTGAGGTTGGAAGAGACCTTAAAGACCATCTCTTTCCAACCTCCTGCCACGGGCTGGGACACCAACGCTGCATCCCTGGCTGGGATTGCTGCATCCCATGTCCTTAGAGCACAGTGAGTGCAGGCTCCAAAGTGACCCTGCTGTGACAGAGACGACGGGGTTTCACCACTCAGGCACTCAGACCCAAGGTCCCTATCGCAGATGGAGGTGCCCAGTCTCACCAACACCTGTGGCCGGGGCGGGTGGGGGGAGAAGTGCTGGAACCCGATGGAGAAGGAACCCTCTGACCCTGTGTCCCTCCCTCCCTCCCTTCCTTCCTTCCCCAGGCTCCCTGGGCACGGCGGGCCGCGTGTGCAACAAGCTGTCCCGCGGCACGGACGGGTGCGAGGTGATGTGCTGCGGGCGCGGCTACGACACCACGCGCGTCACCCGCGTCACCAAGTGCGAGTGCAAGTTCCACTGGTGCTGCGCTGTGCGCTGCAAGGAGTGCGAGGACACTGTGGACGTGCACACCTGTAAGGCCCCCAAACGGGCCGAGTGGCTGGACCAGACCTGAGGAGACGGGCGGGAGCACCCCGGGGGGAAGAGTCCGCTGCCACCCACCCTCGCGATTTTTTTTTTGTTTAAACCCCTGTGCCCCGAGGGCCGTGACGTTCTGGGAGCTGTAGTTCGACTGCATGGCTTTTATTTAATGAATTCCGCGAAGCACTAAGGGAAGGACTGCGTTTCCCAGGAGGTACTGTGGGCCCTTCTGTTTGCTCAGCAAAACTAATCCCCGACCAGGGAGGAGGCTGCAATCCTTGCTTAAGACTGTGAACCTGCAGAGGTTCTCTTTGCAGAGGGACGGGTGTGACCGATACGGGCTCGGAGGGCCGACAGTCGGGATGCGATGGCTGAGGAATCCTGCGCCTCCCCAGAGAATCTACGTTGCAGTAAAGCTTCACCAGCAAAAAAAACCCCACTAGTTCAGAATAATCCACTCTTGCAAAAGCATTCTTGCTTTTCCTTTTTTTTTTTTTTTTGCAAGGCCAGAGGAAGGGTGTTGAGAATCCACGAGACAGTTCTGTGATCCCCGCGTTTCCCTCGAGCAGACCCGGCACGCCACTGACCCCACTGAGCAAGAGCCACCTCTGCACGAGGCTTGTCCCCTTGTCCCCAGCACAGGGGACAAGTGGAGCTGTAAATTGGAACTGAACCTTGGAGGACTGCACAGGGACAAGGGCCACCCCTAAATGCTGGCGGGCACAGAGGGCTTGAGAGAGCAAATGAAACCTGTGAACTTACTGGTAGGTTCTGAAGTCAACGATACAACAGCATCTCTGTAAAACTCACGTGTATGTTGTGTATACTGCTTATTATTTTAAGTCAAAAATTCATTATAAACCTATATCAGAAAAAGATGTTCTTTGCTTTTTGAATTCCTACACACCCAGCTGGGCACTTCCCCAGAGCAGCTTTTCTTCCCCCCTGCTGCTTGCAGCTCCCACCATCCCAAAGCACAGACCCCCCTCTCCCAGGAGTTATCTGTAGCTTCCCACAAAGCAGAGGATGGCATCCAGCATCCAAAGCCCCAGGGGAATCCTTCCTCAGCAGCAGCACAGCCTAGGACATGTGGCTGCACATCCCTGGCCAGGTTGGACAGGGCTTGGAGCAACCTGGGCTAGTGGAAGGTGTCCCTGCCCGTGGCAGGGGGTGGAATGGGATGAGCTTTAAAGACCCTTCCAACCCAAACCATTCCAATGTTCTCTAGTACTGGGTCGAACAGGAGATGCTAGATAAACTTCCAAACCTTTCCCATTAAAAAAAACCCCAAACCAACCACTCCAAACATAATCAAGTAAAACTGAAGTTGATGAGAAGGGGGGGGCAGGCAGCTGCAGAGCTGCCAGTAAATACATTACAGGGATCCACGCCTCTGATCTCTAGAAATTCCCTCAATTCTTTTCCTCCAGTTTAAGCATTACAAAGATGTCTTGTTTAGTGTACAGATATTTTATAGTCTGGTCAAAAGGTCCCAGTCCACACAAACAGATGTAATGTACAACAGTTGCACCCGCAAATTTAATATCCCCGGGTAAAATAGAGAAATTACCTTCTGCATTGCAATTCCTGAGGCTGAGGATGCTTCTGGCACTTCCCTCCTGCCTAGAGCTGGGCTGCCCATTGCCCCAGGCAGGCTGTGCCTCCTCCCTGAGCCAGAAAAAAAGGGGTGAGTTTTCGTAACATTGCTCAGCGTTGTGTTGATGGGCAGGTAAGGATGTTTTGCACACTCAAAGGAAATTTTCATGGACGTTCCAAGCCAACTGGAAAGGCCAAGTCAAAGGGGACATACATCTGTAAATACTTTTTTTTGCTGGGATCTGCTTTATTGCTGCCAGAGGGGCTGTGGGAGCTCTCCAGGGAGGGTTTTCTCCTGGCAGCAGCGAGATGTGTGGGCAGAGGGAGCTGAGCAGGCCTCAACAGCCAAGTCTGGAGGAAGGTCAAAGGAGCAGGATGGGATTAAGGCAAAGAAGATTATGCTGGTCCTAAGCCACCCATTGGCTGCTGCACCGAGAGCATCTCTGAACGGGGATTTTACTCAATGGCCCTAGGAAATATTAGTTTAAGTGGGGAGAGAAAACCACTTTGAAAAGTGCTTTGATGGGAACTGCTCAAAGAATTTAAAGAGCCTGCCATGGGCCAGATTAGAGCACCTTCCTCTGTGCCAGACCACCGAGAGTGCTCGTGCAGAAAAGGGACCTTCAGCAGAGCTGCTGCAGAGCCACAGGCAAGAAAAAAGGTGACATTTTAACAGAACTCTCTTAAAAAGAGTTACAGGAATCCCACCTCCCCACTACCTAATTGTTTCTTACTGAATTAAACCATCTCCCTGCTGAATCCTGTGCTGAGAGCATGAGAGGGCTGGGCAGCACCTTCCCTGCTCTTGCACTCGAGCTGGTGTTTACCTGGGAGCCTCCTGTTCTCCCCCCAAAACCCTTCCAAGCCCTCTGGAAACTCAGAGACCATTGTCCCATCTCGGCTGTGCTGAGGAATGCTGGCAGGTGAGCGGGAGGTCTGAGCCAGGCCAAAGGCATCCCAAGCCTGCCACAGCCATCAGGCTGATCGACCTGGAAGAGCCCCTCATTTATCTTCATTACTGCTCCACCTACCAGCAATTTACAACAGACTTGAAAAAAATGCTGCCCCCTCAGCCATCAATCCAAGCCTCCCTCCCAGAGCAGGACACTGGGAGGGATCCAGTGCCTGGGGACCTGGGGTCAGCTGTCAACAAACACTTCTTCCTCTGCAGAGGACCCCCGGGAAGTGTCTGCAGCAGATCTGTGGGCCCACCTGATGAATGACACCTTAATCAATGGCTGCTGCCAAAATACATCCTCCCTCTGAGTGCAGATGTTCATATTTTAAACCAAAGAGGGAAACTCCTGAGCACAGGTTGCCTTGGGTTTATTGACTTCCCCCTTTCCCATGTCATCCCAGAGATGCTAAACTGGATGCCTCCAGTGCTCTGTGGAATAACCACAGCTGAGACAGAAACCCTCCATAGTCCTGTGTCCACCAGCGTGGTGGGACCCCCTGCCTGGCTGCCTTCCCCTGTCACAGCAGTGAATCAGGAGTAAAAACACTTGGAAGCAGGTACCAGTGCTCCAGAAGCACCCAGAGAAGCAGCCATGGGCACAGCCTGATGAGCTCGAGTCCACCTGACAGAAGAAGGGAGAGTTTCTCCTGCAAAGGGCTATGCAAGGCTACACTCCCTTATTAATTAACAAGCAATTAGCAAAATAAAACCCAGCAGAATGGCTGGGAACTGAAATCCACTGGTCAGCCTGAGCAGACTCCCAGTGCTTGTGCAAGATGACATCCCGCTGTGGGCTGAAGGAAATCCAGACTGGTCTGTCTTCCCACAGATGAGCCCCACCGAAGCTCCCCCCAGCACACTCATCCTGGGCAGGCAGCTGTTTTCCATCTCTAAACGTTTCTGAAGGCTGCAGTCTCGTCAGGGAACACTCAGTCCCTCTCACAAGCCCCTCTTAAGTAATCTGCCTGAAATGTGCAGGGAGCCTTTTATGCAAGATCATCTTCTAATTATCCTCCAGTCAAAAGCATATCTGAACTTAAGGACAAGGAGCAGAATTAATTGCTTAATGAGCTTCTGAATAAATTACCTTCTCTGAAGAAGCTGGACAGGACACACAGGTAGAAGGCACTGGAAACACAGGATCATGTGCAGGGCCAGGAGCTGGACTTTGATGTTGCTTCTGGGTCCAACTCAGGAGATTCTACGATTCTGATTTTCAGTAGATCACAGGAGTGACAACAGGCCTTTAACCAAGATGACACCACCATTTTTCTGCATGGATGGTAGTGGCAAGATCCTTAAGTTTTTGAGCCCAGCAAAGCAGAGTGGCACCAGTGCCCCAGCTACACCCCAATCCCAACACCTCCTGTGGGCCTTTTCTGTTCTCCAGGGGGTTCACAGAGGTGCAAAAGGTGCCTGTGATCAGTGTGATCATGGGGGTCACCTGCTGTTACAGACCCAGCTGGCAGGGACAGATTTACAGGGGCATTTTGACTGGAATTTGCACAGCCTGTCAAAGATCCGTGTGGGAGCTTTCACATCCCATATTCCCGATGCCGAGTCACGGAGGGCTGCTCCAGCAAGCAGCAGGGGGTCACTGCTCTGGAATCGCAGCCAGTGAGTCAAGGCAGGAGAATGCAACAGTCACATACTGTGTCACTCTGTTTTATAACTGATGAAAGCCCACAGCCAAATTAGAAAAGGAATCAAGAGGTTGTTAAGAGAAGGGTCCGAGCCGACGGGGCCGCGCTGTGATTGCACAATTCAGCGCATCCAGAGTGAAAGGAAAATGTCACTGGCCAGGAATAACCAAAGGAGGAAGATCCCGAAGGAGGAGCACACTCATCGTGGCGGGTGCACCCTCGGTGATGCCGTAAGTGTGGGTGTGTTACCTCGCTCTCCCCAGTGAGCACACTCACCGAGCATCCCACCAAGGAGCACAGCACAGCAACCCAGGCTGGAAACCAGGAAAATTCCAAGCACATGAGCAGCATCCCCGATCACCGGCTGTCCCTCCAGTGGAAGGGCTGGGGCAGGCAGAGCACACCCCGCCGAGGAGGCTCCAGAAGGGAGGAGGGAGCCGGGAGGCAGAGCTGGAAAATGAAGCTGCCTTTACTCTGTCTCCACCTTTGTTGTAACTCGGGTGAATTCAGAGCACAGAACATCGTACACAGAAGCCCCCTGTGAGTGCTGCTGTCACCCTGGCTGATGTACAGAGGTGGCAATAGCCCACCTCACCTCTGCAGCCACCCTAATTAACTGCAGGACAGGGACAGGAGGAGTCTGTCTGTCCCTGTTGGCAGCAACACAGGGCAAGCTGGACACTGCTCAGAGGCTGGTAGAACATGAACTCTGGAGGGGAGGTTCTGCCCCCAGAGGGTGGTTGGGCACTGAACAGGCTCCCCAGGGCAGTGGGCACGGCCCCAAACCTGCCAGAGTTCAAGGAGTGTTTGGACAACACCCTCAGGCCCAGGGTGGGATTTTGGGGTTGTCCTGTGCAGGGCCAGCAGTTGGACTCAATGACCCCTGTGGATCCCTTCCAGCTCAGGATATTCTGTGATTCCACGAAGCCCCTCTGCCCTTGCTGCCCACAGTGCCCTCTGTGAAGGGCTCAGCACCAGCTCACATGTGCTCCCACACTCCCTTCCAACACCTCAGCACAGCCTCACGTGGCTCCCAACCACACACCCCATCCATTAGTGTTTGGGAGGTGCAGCTCCCCTCAGAGTCTCATCCCCGAGCAGGGGGAAGGGCAAAGTTAATTTATGTCTGGCTGAGCCCCCCGTTCGTTTGTCTCCCTTCCCTAAGGGAGTCTGCTCTCATATTTAACCTCTTCATTCTGCTGGCACTGGAGGTGGATGATGCAGCTCGTGGAGAGATGCAGGCACTTCACTCTCCCCCTCCCCCTGGAATCTTCCTCTCACTTGTGGTCCTTGGGATTCACCCAATGTTTCTCAGGATAAAAAAAAAAAAAAAAAGAGGACCTCAAGACAAGTATGCATTTAATAAGCAGTGAGACAAATAAGCTCCAGTTATCCCAGCAGAATTACAACACCAGAGAACAATTTTCTGCATTCCTCTGAAGGCCTGAAGGAACCCAATTGCCTGCTCTCAGCCTAAATAGGTACCAGACACCAAGTGCTCCATAAGCAAACAGAGCCCCCAAAGTGCAAAAATGAAATAAGTAAAAAGCTTCACATTACATATAAACCAGCCGTTTGCACCTTGTTATTAATGGTCTTGACTATGACCTTTAAACCCTGCCTTGCTCAGAGTCATGGATCTACGAGCCTTGGCACCCTCACAACAATTCCAGGACGAG